AGGGTTTAGGGTTTAGGGCCAGTTGTAATGGGATCAAGAAGCAGACTGTGAATGTAAACAGACGCGCAGTGGTAAGAGTCAAGTTAGGGGGTAGGGTCTTCGTATGGTTTGCGGATTCAGGATATTTCGGGCGGCATAACCCAAAGCCCTCAACTTCCTTAATCCTGAACCCCAAAGCTTGAACCCTAACCCTACATATTTAAGCTCTAAAAACCCTAAACTAGACCCTGAAACACTAAATCCTTAAAACCTACACTAACCTGAAACCCTAAAACCTTGACGCCCTAAAGCCCGAAACCCTAAACTCTTAAGCATCAGCCCTAAAGCCTTGAAGAGATAAGCCCTAAAACCCTACACCCTAAAACCCTAAGCTCTTAAGCCCTGAGACCCAAACAAGCCCTAAAACCCCGGTCCCGAGCAGGAGCAGCAGGAAAGGAACCGAGTCGCCGACGAGGAAAGGAAGAGAAAGGCCGATGAGAAGAAGAAAAAGGACTGTGACTAAGGGGGCCGTAATGGAATAGAATTTAGGGTTTAAGGTTCAGGGTAAGGAATAGGCTTAGTTTAGGCATATTGCGATGATGATTGTGACTGTGATTATTTTCGGTCTTGCCGTTAGCACTACGGTTGCCATTACATTGTTGCAGTCATTCGTGCCATGGTTAGGTTTTTACTCTTATTACTACTGTCTGTCCCATCCTTTTGGTTCCAGGTTTAGGTGCAGGAGTCTGGGGCTTCAGAACGACGGCTCTCCCTACCGAAATCGCCCAGGCTAGGGTTTATGGTTTAGGGTTTAGGTTTGAGGGTTTAGGGTTTAGGGTTCAAGATTTAGGCTTTGGGGTTTAGGGTTTAGGGTTTAGGGTTTAGGTTTGAGGGAAATAGCCCAGTGTCTCCCGAGAGCCATGAGAGCCCATACACGTAACTTCGCCCGAAGGACCCTGTGAAGGAGCATGGCTAGAGGTATTCCTTTGATTCCGAAGCTACAAACCCTAAACCCTAAACAAGAAATATAATATGTATATATATATATACACACACATCCTATAACCTGGCTACGAATCTTGTTTACTCCAGGGTTCGGGATGTAGGGTTTAGGCTTGCAGGGTTCAGGTGTGAGGCAACCGGAAAACCAGAACACCCAAGTCGGCAGAGCCCCAAACCCTAAACCCTAGATCCTAAACCCTAAACCCTAAACCCTAAACCCTAAACCCTAAACCCTAAACCCTAAACCCTAAACCCTAACTAACACACTGCTCCAAGGACGAGGAGGAGTACAGAAAAAGAATGGAGGAGGCCGAGGATTGGGGTTCAGGCTTTAGGGTTTAGGGTGTGGGTTTAGGGTGCTTTTGACGGTGTTCCTTTTAAATTCTTTGCCCTAAACCCTAAACCGAAACCCTAAACCCTAAACCGATTATGCTTCTGAAGGTGTTGTTCATTCATTTCTTTCCTGCGGTTTACGTTTTTTTTTTTTTTGCTGGGGTTTCATCAGGGTTTGGAGCTTTTGGGTTCAGGGTTTAGTCACTTTCGGGTTTGGAGTTTAGGGTTTAGGGTGAGGTTTAGGGTTCAGGGTTTAGGGTTTACGGTTTAGGGTGAGGTTTAGGGTTTAGGGTTTAGAGCTTAGGTTATTTCTCTCTTGCTATCATGACCGCGCACTTGCTGTTGCGGTAGCAGCTGTGCATTCCAGTGCCCTAAATGTTAAAATCCTGGGGCCTGAGCATCTGACCCTGGAAGCCCTAAACTCCCAGATGTCCTAGTCCTAGAACCTGAACGCTTAGATGACTGTTGTTGTTCAGTGGGTAGCACCATCAGAGCATCCGTCAATTGTACATGGTTTCTAGTAGTATTCATACACTTGACTAACACTTGTCCAAAATCGGTTATTCACAACAGGCTCTCATGTTATTTTAGATCAAGTGGATTGGACCGCCATTTCGAAATTACTCAGAGTACCAACACGCCTCTATGTGCGCTTGCTCACATTTGAAGTCTAAATACGTCAAGGTGCGATTATGGGCTTCATTCAAGATGCCTACCGCGACATCATGAACCTGGATGCAGCTACCGCTCGTCGCGATGCCGTCGACACGAACTTCAGAGAAGACAATGCCTGTCGAGCATTATTCGCGTACATGGTTTCTTCAAATGACACCGTCACAAGGAAAGGCTTACGAGGCCTGCTGGACAGCTCCAGGCTTTCAAGCCACATGCACTCGACTTGCTGACAGCAAGCGACTGTGCCCTGTGACTTTGACGAATGTCATGCACCACTGCCTAAACCTGAAACCCTAAACGGCAGTCGACGTCGCCATGCTCCTCATCGAAAATGAAGAAGACGGCAATGACGCAGCTGCTCACAGGGCCGCCAGGTTTAGGATTAGGGGTTTAGGGTTTAGGGGTTTAGGGTTTGTTTTGGGGTTTAGGGTTTAGGGTTTGGGGGTTTAGGGGCTCACTCGCCGACAGAAGATAGATTCAACCGACTCTTGCAGGCTTGCACTAGTGCCAAGAGATTCATGTCTGAACCCTAGCCCTCCAGGTGCCTACTATAGACGGTACTAGAGCCCCTAGAGCCCTATATGGTAGGTACCTGGGGGGTTACACCCTATATGGTAGGTACCTGGAGGGTTAGGGGAATGCTTCTACCTGGATAGATTGGTTTTGCTGAGTGTTGTGAGACTGAGGGGCCTCGAAAGCATGCAGAGCTTCTTCTGTGGAAGCGGGAGCATCTTCGTGGGACCAGGGATCCTTTGGGCTGGTGTACTGGGTTTAGGGTTTAGGTTTAGGGTTTAGGGTTTAGGGGTTTAGGGTTTAGGGTTTAGGGGTTTAGGGGTTTAGGGTTTAGGGTTTAGGGTTTAGGGTCTGTGGATTTCTGATGTAATGGTTTTGAAGTGCCTCGATAACTTTCTCGTCCTACAGGTAACCGGACTGCGAAAAAACCTGAATCCTAAACGCGAGCCTAAAACCCCAAACCCCAAGCCCTAAACCCTAAACGCTATACCATGAAGCCTAGCCCCTTTCAAACTTGGGGTGGAGCGGGCTCTCTTAGATGCTTGGCGCAAGGCGGAGAAGAGCAAGGCGAATGCGTGCTGCCGCCGAGATTTCCCATCGAGCTTGCGATGAGAGGGGCTTCAGGGTTCAAAGTTTAAGGTTTAGGGGTTCAGGGTTTAGGGCTTCGGGGTTTAGGGTTTAAGGTTTAGGGTTTAAGGTTTAGGGTTTAGGGTTTAGCGTGTTTGGGGTGTTTAGGGTTTAGGGTTTAGGGGTTTAGCTTTTAGGGTTTAGGGGCCTTAATAATTAGAATAGGGCTTAGGGTTCAGGGGCCATAATAAGTAGAATAGGGTTCCTTCAAAGGGCTACTATAAGGGTTATTATAAGGGTTTTGGGGTATATCATACTATAATTCTAAATAAGAACCCCCCCCAAATAGTATAGGCACTTATTTAGGCCCCTATGTTACCTAGACTTGTCCCTTGCGGTAACTGTTTGGGTACTGCCGCCACTCTGTAGCAGTTAGATGAAGTTTATTGTGTGGTTATTGTGGCCCTAATATGGACTGCTGAACCCCAATCGCGAGTTTAACACCGGCATGCAAAGCCACCCCAAACCCTATTCTGGGTATCGTCCGTCTCACCACATCAGGAGGACAAGTTCCAAAAGTACTTCAGAAGCTCGTTCGGACGCCAGGCAGTCATACGGTGACGGAGATCCGAGGCGACCGGAAGTTTCTCGTCGATGTCTTCGCGATGAAGGCGACACCGACGAGCAAGGAGACGTGCTACAAGTGCCATTGCACCCTGGCAGATGGGCCGATGCGCTACGGCTGCCTCGAGCTTGGGCAGAAACATTCCGCGACTTGTCATCATGCGTGCACTTCTGCTGACTGGATACTTCTGCATTTTCAAGGAAGGTGCATCTGCCGCCGCCACCAGGCGTGCACGAGGGGTCTTGCAGATCAATGCGCTCAGAGCGTGGGCAAAGTTTTGCTGCAGTCCGTCATGTTTTCGAGTTGTGTTTCTGCCCCACAACCTTTCGCAGAGCTGCCTCATGTTGCCGGAGCACTGAATACGCAACATACACCGACCGGAGTTTCCAGATCTAGGCCTTGGATCAGCGCAGGAATACTTCCGAAAACTGATCGTAGAGAGGTAAGCACGACCAGCAGCCTGACTTTCATGGACGAAAGCTTCCCTGTGTTGAGCCATCCTCAGCGAAACTACGTGCAGCCCTATTCTGAAAAATGCACGCCTTTAAACTCAAGCCCCAGATCTTAAAACTTAAGCCCTAAACCCCGAACACTAAACCCTTAAACCTTTACCCTAAACCCGAAGCCATACGACCCCTCCCCAAAAAACATACAAGCCCAAACCCCAAAACCGAAAAAGCCCTGAACCCTAAACCCTGAACCCTAAACCCTAAAACCGTAAAGCCCTGAACCCTAAACCCTAAACACTAAAAACGCAAAGCCCCAAACTCTAAACCCTAAAACCGCAAAGCCCTAAACCCTAAACCCTAAAACCCTAAACCCTTATTTAAACCTCCTGACATCTTCCTTCCGACTTCTGCCAGGCCCAAGATCGAAGAGGTCACAGAAGAGGAAGCTAGCCAGATCAAGGCCGGCCCTTGTAGAACAGGGTTCGGGGTTTAGGGTTTAAAGGATTCCTCTCAGGGCTACGAAAAGGGTTTAGGGTCTAGGGTTTAGGGTTTAGGTCAGGGCTACGAAAAGGGTTTAGGGTTGTAAAAGGTTTAGGGTTTAGGATTTAGTGATTAGATGTAATCTAGGTGCCTTAATCGTTTGATAATTGGAATAGGAATCTGGACATATTGTGGTAGATGTGGTAAGGACCCGTCAGGGACAATGCTTGTAGTGATTCAGACTTATGCCCCTAAAAATGGAGAGTTCCAACTTGGATTGAGGTTTTTTGTGTTGAAATATCTCGTACATGATTATAGCTGTCAATTATTTGCGGTGTTGGAGCTAGTCTTACCTTAGGCCCAGCCCTATAGTCCCTATAGGGTGTAGGACCTCCAGGATTGAAGAGCTGAACTTCGGATTGTTGCTACTTTGTTGCCGGGGGCAGAGGGGGAGAAATCGTTTGGCCACTGCTAAGCTAAGCCGAAGCTGGTCACCTCTTGTAGCATACTTGATCCTACGACCCGAGCGCCCTAAACTTTAAGCCCTTGAGCCCTGAACCTCAAGCCTTCAACCTAGCCCCTTAGCCCTGAGCCTTCAAACCGAAGCTCTAAGCCAGGGTTGCGGTTGGGCTCTTGGAACTCCATGCTAGGTCCGGTGCAGCCGGCATCCGAGCAAAGATATAAGTCGCAGGGGTTACCCTAAACCCTAAACCCTAAACCCTAAACCCTAAACCCTAAACCCTAAACCCTAAACCCTAAACCGTGTCGGGTGTAGGGTTTCGGGTTTAGGGTTTAGGGAGGCTGGAACAAGGAACTGAGGATGGCAGACCCCTGCACTGTCCAGGAGGATCTAGAAAGTAGATCCCTTATAAAGGGAGATTCTACTAAAGTACCCTTATTGGTACCGGTTCCCGAATTAGGGGGCGCTATTTCTAGATCTTGACAGGGTTCTGGGATAGGTGGGTTCAGGGTTTAGGGCCAGTTACTTAGTTTGTGCATTTTTGTGTCTGGGTTCCTATTCCAATCAACAGAAAATAGTGTATCCATTGTCCCAGTGGGCCATGGACAAACCCTAAATCCTACAGCCCAGAGCCCTAAACCCTAAACCCTAAACAAAGCCCCTTAACCCTAAATCCTAAATTTTAAACGCTAAACCTAAACCCTAAACTCAAAACCATATAGACACCAAAAACATCAAGCAGGTCAAGCAGACTGTAAATCCCCCAGGCCCTAAACCCTTAACCCCTAAACCCTAAACCCCTAAACCCTAAACCCTTAAACCCTGAACCCTAAACCCTAAACCCCCAAACCCCACACCCTAAAAGCCCAGTACCCAAAGCCCATGACCCCGAAATCCAGATCGGATTCCAGGTCGCAGGTTCAGGGGCTTAGGGTTCAGGGCTTGGGGTTTTGGGTTGTAACAAGTGTGCGGTGTAGGAGCTTATGTTTAAAAACTCTGGGGTTGAGGGTCTAAACCCTAAACTCTAGACCCCAAACCCTAAACCCTAAACCCTAAACTCCAAACCCTAAACCCTAAACCCTCCCCCAAATCCTAGACCCTACAGCCGAACCTTCAAGCTTCACGTAGAAGCCTGGATGACCCAATGAAAATATACA